AAATGACATAAGTCTGACAACTATCCTCCGTTACTTAAAAAAATGAGTAGATATTTTTCTGAAAAAATGACATAAGTCCGACAAGAATCATATATTTACTAATGAATTACATTTACAATTAAAACTGGTTTATTGCAAATTTATAAGACATTTTAGATGTGTGTTAGCCTATTGTAGTCCACATTTGGTGGATTATTGTGTGCACGTACCGAGATGGATTGACTTCAAGTGTATATGCCGGAGGCATCCGGGCCCTGAAGAGCCTATCTAAGGGCCCATTCACCTTCTGAGATTTGTTTTGACCTTTTTGTTTTTTGTTGTCTTTATTTCTTTTGTAATTAAAAAAAGGGATGAAGGTTTATGTTTCGGTGCGTCTTGGGTGTTTTTTTGGGGGTGATATCTTGTCACATATTTGTTTATCTCTCTTATTTTTATTAAAAGTTTTCTTTTTATTTATTACCAAAGAAAAGGTGCCAAGGCGAAGCTAGGCGATAAGGGAATGCCTTGTTGCTTAGTCACCTAGGTGAGCTCTTAGGCGATGAGTTTTGAAAATAAAAAAATATAAATCATAGGGTAGTTTCCTAGGTTTCGTAGTAATAAGCAGTAATCTTTAATTAATAATTATCATAATCCTCATGAAGCATGTATAAACCCCATATCAAAAGATAGAAAATCAATATATTTATGACAAGAAAAATAAGAAAGGAAAGAAAACATACAAAACATAAGGGCTGAGCCCTTGTGTTGGTCCTATTGTTTATTATTGTGCCAATTGGATAAAGTCTTCAAATTACTTATTACTTATCTATTCAGGTTTTAAAGTCTTAAAAGGTTTAAGACTGTGTCCTTTTGATAATAACTGAAGATGTGGAACTGAAAAATCTTAGTTTCCTGAAGAATGATGATATCTAGTTTTTCCCTCTTAAGAGTTTCTTTTATTAAGCTTCTTTTCAGTTCCTCTCCCAGTCCCCTAACATTCCAACTGAGGATCTTCATCAAGGCTCTGTTACAATCTTTCCCTTACTCATTCTACTTATTACACCAATCGATGAGTCCAAATTCTGATCTACCAATCCCCATTGTAATCTTTTCAGTTCCTTGTTTGTCCCTTTCTTCATCCCTGTTCCTGCCTTGGACACTGTACTCCTACTTATGCTTCTTTTGAGATCTCCTTATGTACTAGCTTTCCCATCTTTGTTTGAATTTACAATGCCCAGTTTTCTATCTAACTCATCTGGACCCAGCTTTCCTAGTTCGACTCCTTAATTTGCCATGTGTGCAAAAAGGAACTTGCCAACAATTTGGGAAAGTGGGGCACTTGAACCTGAAACACAAACAAAAGAGGGTTTTCGGTGAGAAACAAAAGAGGCAAGCAAGGAGTCAAAACAACTATGACCAAGGTTAGAAGAAGTATATAATGTAGTGCCTGGGTTGAGGAGGTTTTAATTTGCTGGAGGAAAGCAACTTTGTCTCTTTTGCAAATTCCTTGGTTCGGAGTTGTCTCTAATTTTGGTTCACCAACTTGATCGGTTGTAAGATTTCAACAATGCCTCAATCATCTCTTCCTTCGCATTGCACCTTTGATCTTCTAAGTGCCTCCTCTTGGGCATTAGTGACATCCTTAGAGAGGTATGAGCTGAAATCTATATCCAACTCTTTCTCTTTTTTTGGCAAAGTGTCTAGGAAAAGACTAGACCAGTGATTTAAAAGGCGCGCCTAGACGCTCAGGTGAGGCGCATTTTAGGGTAGGCGCCTCGCCCAGGTCCTAGGCGCAGCCCATTCAAAAGGCGCACGCCTGGTGCGCCTTGTGCCTTAGCCCAGGTGTGCGCCTTTTGAAAATTTGCCGCTTTTTCCTTTTTTTTTGAGTTTGGCCGCTAGGCCGGGGGCTCTACCCTTGGACCCCCGTGCCACGCCCCTTAAGGCCAGCCCAAAGGTGGCTCGTAGAATTAGGAATGTAATATTTCACATTCTTAAAAGCAATTAAAACTTTAAAATTATTATTTTTTGTGTGAAATCTAAGAATTTAAGACCCTAGCCTCGAGGGGCGTGGAACAAAGGCGGCTCGTAGAATTAGGAATGTAATATGTCACATTAGCTACTTGATGCAATTGAGAAAAAAAACAGATTGTGGGTTTTATATGTTTGAAAATGTTTTATATGTTTGATTTCATTTTTAAATTCTCATTTGAATATGCTTTACATATTATATTTATGTATTTTAGTTTTAGATAATAGGTTTTTTAAAACAATTATTTTAAAACTTAATATTTTTATTAATATTATGTTTTATAATTTTTGGATTTTTTTGATTTTTTTTGAATTTTTAGCTTTTTTTTTTAAATTGTGTGCCTTGCCTCAAAAAGGCACAATGCGCCTCAGGCGCAAAATTGTCCTTGCGCCTTTTTTGCGCTGTGCGCTTTTAAAACATTAGAGTAGACACAGGAGTTGGCAGCCAATTTGCATCTCCTGCTTTTCCTTCCGAGCTGAGAGGAGTACTAGTGATCCTTCCATTTTCGATGGTGGGGGTTGTAGGGATGTTGGGATCGACATTTCCCGAAGACGTAGAGATCTGTTGGGCTTTGGTTCTGATATGAGAAGGGGTTCCAACTGTATTCTGGTTCTTTTCTTGGAAGGTTTCTTAGCGATCTCCTTTAGAAACTTGAACCTCATGCAAACTGTTCTGCACAAAATGTCTAACCATTTCGAAGAGAGGAATGAATTCTCTTATTGCTCACCCTTATTATAGAAAAGCCTAGCTCCTGAAAGTGTTTCATTTTAACTTCAACTTCCAGAAGACCACCACAAAGACTCCCAATTAATTCAAACACCTACTTTATTTCGAATAATCAGCCATCCATCAGAGCTCAGATAGTTTAGCTCAATGCTCACCATGGGCCACCAATGAGAGACCGATGCTCATTTTCCAAATATGAAAACTATTTCTAGCCTTGTCCAAGTTGTGACCAAGAGGCAAAGCCCACTACTTTGTTTGAATTGAAAGGAGTTAGTTGCAACAGCTCAGGGGCATGACAATTTGTAGTTAGCCCCAACTCCACTTCCCTCCAAGTCAAGTCTTCTTTCTTAGTGTAAATGAAGGCAGTTTTCCCATTTTTCAAATGGGCTGGTCTTGTGAACCATAATAATGTGTTAAACTTCTCGTCGCCACCACTTTATTGAGTATACTCTTTTTCTTCAATTGTGGAAAAGATTTAGGCGAAGGAACTGAAGTGTTTGCTCTCATGGGGGGGGGGTAATAAACTCATCTATGTTTGTAGAAAGGTCTTTCATCCAGTTTTGTTGTCTTCTTCTAGGGTGCAGATATTATGCAACCCATTTGTTCCTTCCCAATGCCTTACCCTGTTAAATTTCCCCCATCTGTTTTTGTTGACTTGGACAAGTCTCACTCTACCCCTTTTTGCTCGTTTTTTGGGTTCTTTTTCCTTTCTTGAACTTCTACTACCTTCTAAAGGACATCCACCAATCAAATCACCTCCTATGTTTTTTAGCTAAATCATGTCCAAGCTTCTCTTCCTCGTTCCGTTACCACTATCTCTTTGAATCGCCTATTGGAGTTTAACTCTTGCTTGAAAGTTTTGGATCTAATAGCTAGCAGTCATTGTGCCATCTCTTATCTTGGAGTCACCATTGAATATCTTTCAATCCTTCAAATCGTTATTGGAGATCTTTCAATCTAGCTCGAAGCATTAATTTTGCATTTAATCGTTCATTAATTTTATCAATTAAAACAATGTCATCTGCAACATGCACCATGGAACTTCCTCTTGAACATGCCTAGTCAATTCATCTATTATCAATATAGAAAGACAAGGGCTAAGTGCTGAACCCTGGTGAAGACCCATCATAACTGTAAACTATGAAGTGTCTCGCATTGGTTGTTACCACCTTGTACATATCCTTAATTTGGTCTATATACCTATTTTGAATTCCCTTCTTTTATAAGACCCATCATATTATCTCTCAAGGAACTCTATCATATGCCTTTTCTAGATCAATGAATATGAAGATCTTTCTTCCATGGTTCATCTCCCTGGCATAAAGTTAAATTGGTTCTTTGATACACTTGTTTCAAATCATAATCTTTGTTCAATTATTCTCTCTCAAAGGCTCATAGTGTGGCTTATGAGTTTAACCCCTCAATAGTTATTACACCTTTTTATTTCACCTTTGTTCTTAAACATAGGCACTATACTACTGTTTCTCCAATCATCAAGAATCTTCTTTTGTTTCACTATCTTATGGCTTAGTTAGCCATAACATCTGCCCAAATAGCAAGCTTACCTCTCCCATACGTTTCCACATTTCATTGGAATCCCATCCGGTCTTAACGCGTTTCCCTTCATGTTCTCTAGTGCCTCTTTTACTTCAGAAAGTCTAACTCTACGAAGGTATGGGCTATTTTTAACACTACTAGTATAATTAGATTCCCCTCTATTAGCACCCTCTCTCTGCTGTTCATTTAATAATTTTCGAAGTAGTTTTCCACTTTTGTTTGATTTCCTCATCTTTCACCAAGACTTTTTAGTGCCTAATATATGTATTTGTTTTGATCAGCCTGGATTGAGCTGGACGTTTACAGTATTTAAGTACTAAAAGTGTATTCCATCTAGTTTCAGCCAAATTGTTGAAGCCTTGCTCTATCCTTCTATTTCATTCTTTGAGATTTACCGAGAAGATTCTTGTAACCACTTTCATGACCTGCCTTTTGCCCCCTCCGCCTTGGGAGCATCCTGGACTGTGTTCCACCCTCTATATTGCATTTTGACAAACCTCAGTTTATAGAAACTGTTGTTTTCTAGCCTTCTTGTTGGGGGTTAGTGCTGTATGTTTCTGTTTATGTGTGGTATTTCTATTTATTTGATTAAGTAATGGCTATGTTTAAGGTACTGTGTACTTAAATTGTTTCTTTATGTGTATGGGATCTTTTTTTAACTTGGCATTTTTCTTTTCATTTTTTAATAGCTTTGCATTGTTTATTACAGCTTTCTTTTGTTAGTGAAGAAAGAGATAGATTAAAAAAGGAAGTCGTTGCAATGAAGAAGAATGTTGAAGCAGAGAGTGAAATGACCAGTGAAACCGTTATCCAGGTCATAGTAGTATATTTTCTTTATTGTATTTTTTCTTCATGCTTTTTATCCTGATAGTTTTACTTGTACTTTTGGAAACACAGGAGCTAGAATCATTACTTTCTAAAAAGGAATATTCCATTAAAGAATTGGAGAGCAATTTAAATGAACAAAAAGAAGTCATTAATCATCAGCATGATGAAATAAAGTTGCTCACTGAGAAGCTGAATAATGAAGCAAGGAGAATCAAGTCATTAGAGAGGGAGGGCGATAGACTTCGCTCTGAAATTTCTTTACTCGAGTCCAAGGTGAGTTATCAAATCTAAAGTAATTTCAACATATTAGGGCATATTGAAAGCTAATCTGAGGTGGGGTGATGTTGCTGTGAATTGCAATGTTGATTTGGCTCCTGCTTTGAGCCATGTGAGATGAAAGCCAATCTAAGTTGGCAAAAGATTGTTTGTAACATAACATTTCATAATGAGGATGCAGGCCTTTAGTCACTCTGCATGGCAGTGTCTGGTAAAAGTCCCTGAGATTGCCTGGGCATTTTCAACTGTCTGGACCTGATTAGTGACAATCAATTACTTGGCTTTACCTAGGCCACAGTTAAAATATTTCTTTTAATTTTGGATGGTTAATGATATTGGGCTGCTAAATTATTGCATACTTAAATTTTAAAATCAGTTAGCAATTTATAAGTCAAAGATTTTTCTTTGTCATATCTGCAGTATCTGATATCTTCCCTCTAGTCATAAAGATTTTTCTTTGTATTCTTTTTCCATGAAAACAGAATACCTCATGTGTACTTAGACTTGAAATTTTAATTTCCTTAGACTTTAAAATTAAAATGTGTAATTTTAGTTATACATTTTCTATTAATACGTTTACTTTTTTATTTATTACAAAAAAAAAATAAAATGTGTATATGAATGATCATATCTTAGTTTAGACTTGAGAATTTAGTTTTTTTAATTGTATATAATGTTTATTTGTAGTGTTTCACTATTGTACTAATGTGTGTTGTTTGAAATTTGAATTATTTTGTTCTTGAATCTGCTAGGTTCTATGCAACCTAGTAGTTTCTTATTTTAATATTGTTTATGATGCATGCTTGATTTTAATAATTGAAACAATAGAAACTAGAGATTTATCATAATATTGTTTATGATGCATGCTTGATTTTTGCTTTAAAAGTCTTGAGGATGAGGATTACCAAAGCAAAGTGGTGCTTAATTATACCATAGGATCTGTTAAACTATGACTGTTGCTTGGGTACAAAAGTTGTACAAAATAATTTTTCTTCTATTTTTTTAGATGTTCAAGTATTTTTTAAAGGTTTTTGACAACTTTTAGAAAAATCAGAAGAAAATCTTATGATTTACGATATGACTTCATTCAGCCCCTTTATGATTTATGATAAGATTATGATTTTTAAAACATTGCTCGTGTTCATATTTGCATTTACTGTTTCAAGCGGTAAGGTAGTGATTACAGTTATGGTTGATCCACTTATCACTAGAGATGGTCCAAGATCTAGCAATTGAAGAAAACTGGATACACAATCCAGAAAAGGAAAGTCTGGACGCAGCTGCCCAGAAGAGAAGTACATATCTCTCTCAAAACTTCACAGATCTCAATGAAAATTTCAGAGTATGCTGAGAAGGGCTATGCGACAACTCCTTTCAAATCTTACTGCAAATGGATGTCAAACGAGAGAGATCCATTGAAATCTCTCTTGCTAGATGCACAGAGTGCATAAAAATGGTTACTGGAAAGATCAAGACAGTCCAGAACCAATTGGCAGTGTTACGAGTTCTCAACGGATTAAGAAAACAAAGTGGATCAGAGAGAAATGGATCAAGGAGCAATCTGCTCTGGTACCATGTGAACCGAACTGAGAACAAGAGCGAGAACAGAATTAAGGGTGTCAAGAATGGTTGACCCCCAACCCAAAGAACCTCTTTTATATTAAAGATATAAAAGATATGTACAGTTACAAGAATACCCTTATAGGGCTGAAAGATAAAAAGAACAAATAAAATAATAAGAATACTATTCTGTACAACAAGGGCTATACTAATAATGTACATCAAGATATATCTTCACAGCTTGGATCTACAAGAATGAGCTCAAGATATATAAATAGCTGACGAGAAACATGATTGTTATAGTACAGTGGATGGGGAGATCAACGAATGCCCTTGTGGATACTTTGGCAAAACAAGGGACAAAGAGGGAAACACTATTTTGGGCTTAACTGTAATTTTATAGTAGTACTCATGTATTCATTGTTATGGTTCTTTTGGTTTATGTTTTTTTGGGTTCCATGTCTTGGAGAGGCGGCACCTCGCATCTTCCCAAGGGTCAGTAATTGCCTCTTGATATTAATGAAATGTTATATATTGTTTATCAAAAGAAAAAAAAGAGTATGACTCCCTTCCAAGCTTTTTTATTGAAGACCTCCACCCTCTATAGTTCCCTACAGAAGGCATCATCCTTGGTGGCAGCTGCTGGTTCCTACCTGTTCGACAAAGATGAGGTCTTGTAGACTCTCAAGCATAACTTGCTCAAATCTCAACAGCAAATGAAACATCAGTATGACAAGAAGCACAGATTAGTAGAGTTCAACTTCAAGGACCTACTTATCTCAAACTGCATCCTCACCAACAAGCTTCTATAGCCAAGCACATTCGATATTACCTCTTACCCAAGCTTTGTGGCCTTTTGAAGATCGCAGTGAGGGTGAGCCTCATGGCATGTCGCCTGAACCAGCCTGAATCTACACAACTACATCCTATGTTTTACATTTCCTTGTTGAAAAAGCACTTAGGGAGTTAAGTTATTTGTTGCCCCACTTTACCGGACCTGAAAGAAGATGCTAAACTTGACCTACTGCTAGAACGGATCATTGATTATGAATGGGTCAAAATTGGAAGAAAAGTTTTCATGTAAGCTTTGGTTTGGTTAGGCTTGCCCATTGAAGTTGCCACTTGGGAGCAATGTTTTAAATTGTAGAGGTGTGCCGTGATGTGTTCCATTACCTAGAGGTGTGAGGTGTGCTTTAGAACATAAGCGGTGTAAGCCTCATGTACACCTCCTTAACAAGAGGGGGATGAGGAGGAAGAACAAGAGGAAGGAGGGGGAGGAGGAAGGGGGATCTCATCTTTTTTTTTTTTCTTTCTTTTTTATGAAGGATGTCTTGTATTAAGGAGAATGTAGATGCATAACACTAGTTGAAAGTTGGGATCTTATTGAAGCAAACAAAGTTGAAGCTTCACTCCTAACCCAAACTTTCTTTCTCTTACCCTTTCCTTCCCTTCCCTTCCCTTCCCTCTCCTTTCCTTTTCTTTCTTTTCTCTTTTTTTCCTTTCTTTTTTTCTTTCTTTTTATTTTCCTTCCCTTCCCTTCCCTTTCTTTTCTTTCTTTCTATCATTTTTGTATGAGGCTTGCATGAGTGAATGAGGAGTACATCTCTAGCATGCCTTATGCAAAAGGCGTATGAGGCAAGTGCTTTGGAGGCATCAACGCTTTTGGCATATGCCTCAGGGTGCAAACCATTTAGTACATTGCTTGGGAAGTCTTGTGTAGTTCTAACCCAGACTATCCCTGGCTTGCCCTCGGGGATGAAGTCCATCTTGAGGAGGGGGGAGATGTTAGGGCCCAATTTGAGCCCATCTTGGTGAGAAGGTCTCTATATAATCAACTCCATACACCTGAGTATACCCCTTGGCTACTAGTCGAGCCCTACACCTCTCAATGGTGCCATCAACATGACACTTGATGGTGAACACCCACTTACATCCCACTGGTTCCTTCCCATGAGGAAAATCCACAATATCCTAGGTATTATTTTTGTAAAGTGCTTCTACTTTAGTTCTCATAGGTTGGGAAGTGTTAGAGCTAGCCGGATAAGGGTAGATTAGTCATTTTATTTCTATTAAGTTATGTGCTTATGTGGCAGTTTTTAATAGAGACTTCCTGTCCCATACTTAAGTGGGGGGCAGTTTAGTCTTTGTACAACTAATTAGAGGCTAATTCATATTAGGGTCGACTGGTAGGGTTTATGCTATCAGATTCAACTGTTCCTCTTCTTCTTCTTCTTCTTCTTCTTCTTCTTCTTCCTTTAATTTGAACTACTGAAACCACTGAGATAACATGGTATCAGAGTAGGACGTTGCTCTTTAAATCTCTGCTCGTGACTGTTGCTCCTTTCTGTTCGTGACTTCTTTTTCTTCTCTCTGGACTGCAAATGGAGAACACAAAGTCGACCAAGGTCTGAAAACACTTCGGCCTCTCTTTCTCTGCTTAGAACTTGATTGCCTTTCAAGAGAATAACTCCAGAAATAAGTGGATGGCCAACTGGAGCTCTCCATCAAAGTTGGTTATCCTTTTTTTTGTGTTGGTGTTTCTGGGTTGGAAAACCCTAAAAAATCTGCTCGTACTGATCAGAACTTAAAGAACTAGGTTCTTTGTAGCCTTGGTTCTTGGTAAAAGGCCCAAGAACAGGCTGTGTTTACAGTGACCGAATGGTGTAGGGGTTACTGTAGTGGTTGTAGTTGATGTCTTTGGACTGGTAGTGACCTTTAAAAAAAAAAGGGTCAGACAGACCTATACCATGTGGGACAGAGATGGTTGTGTGGTGATGCTTTTGATGCTCACTCTTTATTGAGCAGCCTCAAGAGGGCTTGTATGTGGTTAGTAAATTGCTGAATTACTGCAGTGGTGATTTATGGTTCTGTGTAATCAGTAGTGGTGTGAGCAAGAACAAAAGTTGTTTTATTTTTTTTTTTGGGGGGCTGGAAGGAATGGCCGAATTGCCTACACCAATTCTCTGCCTTGTTGGTGTTGTTTGAATGTTGGTTTACCTTTTGTTCTTAATCTGGATGGTAGTTTGTGCACAGCCTTGGCTGTTGTAGTATTTGGTTGGTGATTGAGAGTTCAACATTAGAGATAGCAGTGGGGGAGACATAATGGCAGCAAAGGGAGATGGTTCTAGTGATTAGAAACCGAGTGTGATGATCCCCTCCGATTATTTGGGTGTGAAGATGACCTCCATTAAACTTAATGGTGAGAATTATGTGCCATGGGCCAAGTCAATGGAAGTTTTCCTCAAGGCAAAGAGGAAAGTGAAACACGTGAAGGAAGATAAACCATCAGCTGATTCTCTAGGGTTTGACGACTGGGAACAGGAAGATGCCCAAATCATGACATGGTTATGGAATAGTATGGAACCCAAAATAAGTACCAACTTTATGTTCTTAGGTACAGCTAAGGACATATGGGAACATGCCAAGAAGCTTTATTC